TTTTCCAGAAGGTCTGGCTAGAGAATATTGCCCACATGCTCGGGGTTCTACTGATCACCATATTTGGGGTCGGGAAGGAATTTTCCTCCAGGGTAGATTGGCAGAGGCCCTGGAGGTTTTTCGCCTTCCTCCGCAGCATGGGGCAGGGGTCGCTTGCTGCAGGATTCTCAGCGATTTGAAGTCTTTAAATCATGATTTGGGGACTTCAACAGCTGAGTCAAGGGAGAGAATTCTTCCAGGAGTGGGTGGGTCAGCTTTTGTGGCCCGCATCATGCGGGAGGTCAGACTAGATGATCATAATGGTCCCTTCTGACCTTAGAGTCTATGAGTCTATGAGTATATAATGGTGTTAGATTTGCAAATGAATTGTAGCTCTGCAGTTTGTTTTTGAAGTTTTTTTGTTGAAGGATGGCTACTTTTAAATCAGTTATAGAATGTCCAGGGAGATTGAAGTGTTCTCCTACTGGCTTTTGTATGTTACCATTTCTGATGTCTGATTTGTGTCCATTTATTCTTTTGCGGAGGGACTGTCCGGTTTGGCCAATGTACATGGCAGGGGGGCATTGCTGGCACATGATGGCATACATCACATTAGTAGATGTGCAGATGAATGAGCCCCTGATGGTGTGGCTGATGTGGTTGGGTCCTCTGGTGGTGTCGCTAGAGTAGCTATGGGGACAGAGTAGGCAATGGGGTTTGTTACAGGGATTCATTTGTGGATTAGTGTTTCTGTGGTGTGGTGTGTACTTGTTGGTGAGTATTTGGTTCAGGTTGGGGGGCTGTCTGTAAGTGAGGACTGGCCTGTTCCCCAAGGTCTGTGAGAGTGAGGGATCATTTTCCAGGATAGGTTATAGATTGTTGATGATGTGCTGCAGAGGACAATTATTGGGAGTGGACCACATCCACCGTGATTGAATTGGCCCTGTCAACACTGGTTCTCCACTTATAAGGTAACTCCCTTCTCTTCATGTGTCAGTATATTTATGCCTGCATCTGTAATTTTCACTCCATGCATCTGAAGAAGTGGTTTTTTTACCCACGAAAGCTTATGCACAAATAAATCTGTTAGTCTTTAAGGTGCCACCGGACTCCTTGTTGTTTGTGGATACAGACTAACATGGCTACCCCCTGATACTTGGAAATCTTAGACACCCTCAGGGGTCCCAGGACCACTGGTTGAAAACTACTGGTCTAGAGCAGGGAGAGCGGGAGCTTCTCATCTCAGTATCTCCCTGCTCCAGAAGAAGGGGAGATTCAGTTGCATTGGGAAGTGGCAAATTCAAAACTGATAGAGGAGGGAAATACGTTTTCACACAAGGTGTGACTAGCCTGTGGAACTCATTTCTCCTCGCAGGATATTCTGCTGGTCAAGAATTTAGCAAGGTTCAAAGAGCGATGAGACGTCTATGTGGTTAACAAGACTTTTCAGAGTTATAATAGTTAATGCTAACAGAGTATAGGACAGGAGATAAACCCTGATGTTTTAAAGGCAATCTCTGTTAGTGGTTAGGGTAGGACCATCATGGGGAGGGTTTTATTGCCTACCAGCTATATACTATGGGGATTCTTGCACTGTTCTGTGAAACATCTGGTGCTGGACATTGTCAGAGACAGGGCTGGATGGTCCATGTGTCTAGTCCATTATGGCAATTCCCACACTTCTGTCTGGAGAGCTAGGGGTGGGAGAGTACCAGACATGGGTCTGAGAGGGGTAGGGTGACCAGACAGCAAGTGTGAAAAATCAGGACAGGGGGTGGGAGGTAATAGGCACCTATATAAGACAAAGCCCCAAATATCAGGACTGTCCCTATAAAATCAGGACATCTGGCCACCCTAGAGAGGGGTTAATGCTACAGCATGTTTAATCTATTTTACATTTATTTCCCCCATTCCTGGGGAACCTCAGAGCCCTCTCCTGCATTTATTCAATGCAGTTTGTGGAGTATAGGACACGTGGTCACTCCTGCCCATTGCTGCACATGTCAAGCTGCCTGCACAGTTATTCCCTATTATTGTGAGCCCAAACATTCAGCAATGGCTGTTATTTGGGGTGCCCCAGTGTCTGGGTGCTCAAGTTGGGACACCTTAAAAGTGCCTCATTTTTCCAGAGCCACTAAGCATCAGCAGTCCCAATGAATTCAGCTGTGGTTGTTTTGGACTTCTAAAAATCAGGCCCTTTTAAAGTGCCTCAAGTTGGACCCCCAGAAATGGCAGCGCCCCAAATCACTAGCTCTAGCTCAGAGTTTTAGCCATAGTGCACAAGGGGAGGTGCTAGAAGCCAGGGCCGGCTCCAGGGTTTTGGCCGCCCCAAGCAGCCAAAAAAAAAAACAACCCCGCGATC